AAAATAATAAGACAGGCCTACTTTGGCGTTGCAATAAAATAGTATTAATTATCAAATAAATAATTACAATATATAATTAAAATAGGAAGAAATAAATGAAAACAAATGGTACCCTTTGTTTTTATAGCAGGGCCCAAAGTGTTCTTATTCTGGTTCTGCTAACAACTATTAAAAAGAAAAAAAACCCACCAAACAATAAAAACACTAGTAACTGATAATAATAATAATAATAATAATAATAATAATAATAATAATAATAATAATAATAATAATTATTATTATTATTATTATTATTATTATTATAAAGCCCTTGCTCTGAAATAATCATGTAAACCAGGTGCTCCTCGGAAATGGCTATCTTTGCTCTGCATCAGGTGCACAGCAGCAAGAAGCTTGGCAGTGAACTATGACCTTATTTTAATGACAAATGTCTAAGAATACTGCTGATTTACGTTTTTATTTAATTCATACATACGCAATGAATGTAAGCCTGCTAACTGTGTGTGGTTCAAATGATAGAATATGTAAACTTAGTTAATATATAATTAAATAATAATAATTAAAAGCCTGCGTGTAAGGCTTTTATTTTGAGGGTGACGTCACGAGCGCAGATTTGGTTGACCAATTAGAGGAAAGTGGGCGTTTCAGCACCGCCTACATGTGTAAAATGAATTTTAAAGTCGTTTATCCGTTTTCCTACCCTAAACCAAAAAACGAAAATCCAGCCAAAATCTCGTTTTTTCGTTTTTCTCGTGAGCAAAAGAAAAACGGAAAAACGGCCGTTTTCTCCATTTCCTTTATGAAATGGAAAACAAATGAACAAAACGTACACGGACCATTTTTTGACTCATTATTTCGTTTTGGTTTTGTGTTTGTTTTAATATTTCGTTTTAAATTAATAAGCAGAATAACAGATGAGTTTCCGTTTTTTCTGCCTACAGAATAAACAGAAAAACGAAATATTCATCGTTTTTCTGATGTTTCGTTTTCCGTAATAAAAGGAATAATCAAATGAACGGATGATACACGGACCAAGCTGTGTCCAGGCCCTAGGGAGATCAACATGTTTGCCTTTACCAGCAGCAGCTGTGAATCCTGCAAGGCGCTGAGTAGAAACAGAGAAAGAGAATCGCTACACTTTAGTCCAGTATTCTATAGATGGAGATTTGGCTCCACCTCGTGGCTGGACAAATGCGTCAAATTTCATTCAAGGGATAGTTCACAAAACAAAATCAAACTCTGACATCATTTACTCGCTCTTTACCTGTTCCAAACATCTTTGATCGTTTTATCATCATTTGAACATAAAAGAGGATATGTTTGAAGAAAACTGGAAACCTGTAACCGTTGACCCCCACAGTGATACCGGTAAACGTGCAGGAAATTTCCTGAACAACTTCACTGGTAAATTCAAATATGTGCTTTTCACACAAGCAAGGAAAAGATCTTTTCACACATCCTTTCCAAAATACCGTAAATTCTGACATTAACTATAAATGAGCTTTAAATGGTCATGCTTGTGTTTGTAAACATAAAGGGAGTCAAGTGGTTGATGATTTCTTTTATTTAAAACTTTAGCATTCATGTAGCTGCATTTGTCCCAGAGACAGACCAAATAACGATAGAATAAAAATCTACTTACCGAAGGCTGCGTGGTTGAGGCATCTCAAACACGCATGTGGAAATATATCGGTAAGACTTTACAATAACAGTACATGAATAATGATGTATTAACATGTAAACTAAACATTAGTTTATTATGAATTAATGATGAGTTAAGGTATGCATGTTGTAGTTAAAGCTAATTCATGATTAGTGCGTACCTTAACTCATCATTAATTCATAACATATTTACATATTCATACATCATTATTCATGTACTGTTATTGCAAAGTGTTACCGATATATCTGAGTGTGCTGCGGCTTGTGAGATACTTTTTAAAATAAAAGACTACCAGTGTTGTAAGCAACCTAAATCTGACTGACCAGAGTGCTTCTTCACACTACGGACAATTTAGCCTACCCAATTCACCTATACCACATGTCTTTGGACTGTGGGGGAAACCAGAACACCAGTAGGAAACCCACGCGAAGGCAGGGAGAACATGCAAACTCCACACAGAAACAACAACTGAGCCAAGGTTCGAACCAGCAACCCAGCGACCTTCTTACTGTGAGGTGACAGCACTACCTACTGCGCCACTGCCTCGCCTTTCATGACAGTTTATCATATGCAATTTATTGCATGCAATCATATGATTAGTTTTTTTCCCACATTTGACACCAGAAACGTTATTTGATTAACATGCAGCAGCTTAAAGTGTCTGGATAAGGATTCAAAGGCTTTTATTTTCATAAACTGTAGAGTAGACGTCTCATGTCAGTGCATTGTTTCTGACAAATTTCCTTCTGTTCACACTATAGACTGTAGAAGTTATGGGCATAGTATCCGTAACATCACCCATAGGTTTCTGAAGAACACAAAAGAAGCTTTAGGTGTTGCCAACTGTCGCCATTTTTTTTTTTGCATGTCATTGCACCGACCGCCGAACAGCAAACAAGGGCATAAAGGTGGAGCGTGAGCGAAACCTGCTTGCATTTTGCTTAGACAGGCTTTTCTTAGGACGAAATGCTTAATACTTCAGTACCTGCGATTCGTTTGTGTTCTGACAGCATGTGCTTGGTTGTACACTAAGTCAATAAAGTGTTTAGTCTTAAAAAAAAAGCTGTTGTACTACATCGAGCCACTAAGCATTGTTCTAATGCCGTTTTTCTAAAGGAGAAAACGTAAATTAATTCCAAACACTTCAAATATAGTCTGTGTTAGTAAATGCAAGCCTATTGATGAAACCTAAGCATAAAATTGTATATGACAACGCTTCAGATGACTGTTTTATAGCTTACAGCTAATCAATCTGTCAGATTCTGAAGTGCATTACAGGTCTAAAGAAAATTATATATGATAAATGATCTTAAGTAAAACAAATACATTTATAGATATGTATAAAAATTTCACTCACCTGGGAAATAGAGGCAATTTAAATGGTTTGTGAGAACAATTAAGTGCACACTGCATGCTGAAGTATCTGATAATTGTAGGAAATAATTTTAAAAAGCAACTGACTGTGTGAAGCCACATAAAACAACAAAAAAATTAGATATATATATGCCGAGTTCAGTTGCTAATCAGCCGGAATCAGCTGAGGTGACGAGATGGCGAGCAGTGAGACCTAGCTGTCGCTTAAGTGGGGCCCTTAATTATGCAGACTTAATAAAATTAAACGGTTGAGTTATAAAAAAAAAATCACCCTCTTCACAGTTGTCATGAAGGGTATTAGCTATATGGACTAAAACCATCTTTATACCAGGCTGTAAACATGTTTTTATCAGCTGTAAAACTGGCAAATATACCATTTCAGTCAGAAATCATCTGGATTTCCTGGACCCAACCCCCAAAGGCGAATCAATGAATTGCAGTTTTAGTTACTTCCATACGGGTTTCCCAAAGGAAGTTTGGGAGGTTGCCGCTTGGTTCACACAGAGCAGCATTCGGGAAATTGTAATGTTACAACTTCTCTTTCCGGCAGAACAAATTTACCATTATTTTTTTTTAAAGGGCCTGTTCACACATGGTCCGTTTCCAAAAGTCTGTTTGTGTGAAAGGGTCTATTGACTTCTATAGTATTAATTTGGAAATGGAAGTCAATGGTTGCAGGTTTTCATCTTTCTTAAAATTACCTTCTTTAGTACTAAACATAAAAGCTCATAAAGCTCTAAAACCGATTGAGGGTTTTATGTACAGGGATAATATGTGTATCTTTTTTTTATTGTAATACTGTATTAATATAATGCATTGTAGATTTGAATTAGCCTACTTTGTCATTATGTTTCCTCTATATAAATGTGTGTGAAACATTTTAATACCTTCCATCGACAAAGGAATTCTTTTGCAAGGTTTTCATACTTTTCCTGCTCCTTGCTACCTTGTACTTGATTGTATTTTTCAATAAAGTCTTCTGTTGTTTCAAGGGGATTTCTGTAAAATAAGAAAGAAAAGTCCTATTTACTGTCAGTTTTGTGTCATTACTACTACAACTAAAAATAATAATAATAATATAGTTGAATGGATAAATGGTTTATTTTTGGATATTAACAAATCATTTACTTACCTTTTGACTTTTATACCTACCTTTTGATTTTTTTTCTTGCAGTAACATTTCCAGTTTCTTCTTTCTTTTTTCTGTGGCGTTTTATTAATTGTTCGAGTTGAGATTGAGAAACTATTCCTAAATGATGTTTAATAGGAATTTTGAGTATAGGCATACTGATACATTCAGCAGTCAACCAGACACTGTACGTTGATAAAAAAGCACACAACGCAAAAACCTAGTTGAAAGGTTGCCATGGTTACTTTGTCAACAACACCATATAATTAAAATACATTTTATTTTATTAAATTAGAATATACACAATCTTTCAAATTGATTGCGATGCAAATGTCCTAAACGTAGACTGTGCTCGAAACGTTAATTTTGTATTATACATTTATTTTCTGCCACCTTAAAATCCAATGGTTAACATGTTTCTGATCTAATAATTCACAATTCATAATTAGACAAAAAGCAGTCTCCACGGGGAAAGCGTAATTTTGACAATTTTACTTAAAAAAATCCCTTCCTGAAATATTCCCTTCATGGTTTGATCATCAATTATTAGGGACATTCACTCCCCTTTTCATCGAGCGCCGCTGGTGTAGTGGTATCATGCAAGATTCCCATTCTTGCGACCCGGGTTCGATTCCCGGGCGGCGCACTGACTTTTTGTCACGAATCTACGTAGTCTCCTACCTTTTTAAATCATATTACATCTGGTAACGTTACACGTCTAAACTAGCAATGTAATGCACAAAACAAAAGTTACGGTTTAATAAACAGTGCTTTAGCATTTGAGCACATTTTCAAAGCTTGCTTTTTTGTGCGCTTTGTACTTGGTACGCGCATGCGCGCTTGCATTTCCGGTCCGGCTCCTCCGCCATCTTATGTCGCCTTTCCATTGTTCATAACTGGAGTCAGCCGAGGCGGCATTTCACATTTACTCTCATTATAACAGGTTTGACGGAGATCAACGAGGGTAACAACACTGGAAAAAGCGAGACACGGGTGGAACGCGAGATCATCTCACAATCGACACAAGAGGAGTTTCTCTCAGGGTTCGGTGTCTTAATTCTATCAGGAAAATATGATGGACGACGAGCAGCCCAAGACCCTGTACGTATATCGGCATTATACTCTAGTACTTTAGACAGCCAACTTCACATCATGCCAAGCCATAGTTTAAAAACACTCTCTGCTTACTCATTTCTCTTAACTGACACGTAACGGCAGCTCTAAGCAGTCCTGACTGTGATGCTAAAGGAACTACAACCACAAAGCAGACGTGTAAAATCTGAGCCCCAAACAAAAGCCCTGAATGCTGGAATGAAAATTCACACTAGATTTAGGGCTCAATATCGGGAGACAAAGGCCAGTCGTGTGATTTAAAGCATCTCGCACACCATGTGCTAGTTAGTGAGTTAATTTGGATAATTGCAGCAGGCCTTTAGAGGCCAGAGCACGGCGCGAGCACACACACTCGCACACTGCTGTCTGTGTTTGAGTGCGTGAAGTTGCCTTGTACTTACTGAAAGCTCATTGTCTTTACAGCTTTGGTAGACAAAGAATCCGTCTCATGCGTTCAGATATGTATTTATAACGCACAATGGTTAAACTGTTGACACTCAGCCCGAATGTAAATATAGATTATATATGTTAAAATGGTTCTTATTTTGGTCTTATCAGACTGCTCGTATCCGACAGTGAGGGCTTTTGTTGCTGGCTGCGCGCTCGTGCGTGCTCCTCTGCTGTTTTGTCATGTCTTTGTTTGAAACCTGTACATACGATAATAATAAGCAGCTCGTTGCCGGATGGCTAATGAGGTTTTTAAGGTTAAGTAGCGGCCCGTGGGTCCTCATGCCTACCGAGTTCTTTTGTAATGTAGATTAGGCGGATCATTTTGATTCAGGTACTTGAAGATGCCACATAGTGCGTGCCTGGACCCCTATAATTAGTGTATCAGATTATAGATTTAAATAAAGGTTTCTTGAATTCAACAGGCCACTCACTCTTATTTGTTTATCCTCCTTTTTAATTTTAAAACTTATTTTAAATGCAGGTATGTCGGAAACCTGTCTCGAGATGTGACCGAGGCCCTTATTATGCAGCTCTTTGGTCAGATTGGCCCCTGCAAGAGCTGTAAAATGATTGTCGATGTGAGTATATTTTAACACGTATATTAATGCAAGGTTTTGACCATCATTGTGATCCACAAACAGACAGGCACACATGTTTGTGTGTGTATGCATGTATGCATGTATGCATGTATGTATGTATGTATGTGTGTATGTGTGTATATAAATATATACACAGACACACACACACACACACACACACACACACACACACACACACACACACTGTGCCCATATTGAAATGCTCTTTTAGTAATGTTTAAAAGCCATACCTTATTTCCCCCTTTAATGTTATATATTAACAAGGTTTCTTTTTCAAAGACTTGTTATAAGAAATTGATTTGATGTCTAGTTGTACTTGTTTGCTTTCAGACGGCAGGTAACGATCCATACTGCTTTGTGGAGTTCTTCGAACATAGGCACGCAGCGGCCTCACTCGCAGCCATGAATGGGCGTAAAATAATGGGTAAGGTAAGCTATCGTATCTACAGGGTGAGTTGGGCTGGGACGGGAGGGTGGGACTGTTAAAATCTTATGTGTATTAAACTTGACCACATGATTTTGAGGTCAATATTTAGCTTGTGTACTGGATGCATAGTGTGAACTAAAAAGGAGATTTTGAGATGGTGACCTATAGACCTATATTTCAATATGATGTCATTGGCACATGAAAATTCCCTTCTCGTTGTCACTATTTTAACTTTAACAAGAGGCAATTCAATAATAATTTTATGTTTAAACACCTGCCATGGGATTATTTATCAATATTTGCACGTTGTTTGGATTCTCGGATGCTATGAAAATTAAAAATGTAAAGCAGGACCATTGTAATTATTTAAATCCCAAAAAATGGACTATATAGGGGGAAAAAATCATTCTCCTCCCATAAGAAATTTGATTTATTATTTGATTTAACAAAATATTGTAATATTAATAATAGTCCATCCACATAAAGAGGCACCTCTTTAAAGCTCTTAATTTAATTTTATTTAATTCTATAATTCATCTAGTTTTTATTTGATTTACCACAAACCATCACCACATCCAAAATACATAAGGCAACATTATGAAAAACACTATAAATGACACCCACACTCACGTGCGGTCTTGTCATCTTAGTAGTTCATAAATAATATTTAAGATGTCTTGCTGAATATTACCATTCCAAGTTATGGGATCAAAAAGATTTTAAAACAGTTTGTTAAAGAAAAATGTAGTAAAACCATATTATTCTGGAATATTGTTATAAATGAATAATTCCTGTTTCCCAGTACTGAGTTGTGGCTGGAAGGGCATCCACGGTGTAAAAACATATGCTAGATAAGTTGGTGGTAATATTTGTAATATTATGTAAATATATTAAGTATAATTTCTCATCAATGTTTGAAAGTAGATTTGTAATTTGCATCATATTAGGGAACTAATAAATATTTTGACTGATTTGCTGAATAAAATGTTTAATTTAAGGGGTCATCTTATTGACTTTAAATTTGGAAGAACAATCCATATTACATCAAATATCTAGATTACCATTAGATTAAACAGTACAGTAAAATCAGCCATTTGATTTCAGTTCAAAATATGATATTTTCAACAGCTAATGAAGTAAGATTTGAGTAGTATTAGAAGTAGGTAATGTATCTTGTTTTGCAAGTCCATTGTTATTTAGATTTTTTTTTTTTGTACAACTTTTTCGCCTATTCAAACAATTTCAGACTAGAATAGTGAAGTAAGAAATGTTTATGGTCAGGTCTCCCTCTTCTCTGCTGCACATTCACACAGCTATTGTGTTAAGAAGATAAATGGAAAACAGCAACATGACCATGTCTGTATAATTTTTTTTTTCTCTCAATATTTTCTCTCTCTACTCCTCTTCTCTAGGAGGTAAAGGTCAATTGGGCAACATCACCAAGCAGCCAGAAAAAAGACACAAGCAGTGAGTGTTTTTTTCTTGATTCCTATAATATCCCCAAACAATGATTGGTTGATAATATTTAGCATTTAGTCTGAATATTATAATGGGTGTGTCATTAATTCAAGTATCTTTTGTCTGGTGTCCTTAGATCATTTCCACGTCTTTGTTGGAGACCTCAGTCCAGAAATCACCACTGATGACATCAGAGCTGCCTTTGCACCTTTTGGCAGGATATCGTAAGTTAAAATGCATAGTTTTATTTATAATTATTTATTTTATAAATTGTGATTATAATAAACATTAAGATTAAAGTATAAATGTAAAGTAAAATGTTACATTAAAATTGTGTTGAGAGACTCTGTCTTGCTTTGTCAAACAAAAGTAGTTTTATACATAATTATAATTATCGTTATTATGGGGAAAAATCATAATCATGATTATTTTGGTCCTAATCGTAATCATGTTTATTAAAAGTTATATAGTCAAAATTATTACCCTCATGTAATTTTTTTATTTTTTATAAATATTTTCCCTAATGATGTTTAACAGAGCAAAGAATTTTTCACAGTATTTCCTACAGTATTTTTTTTTCTGGAAAAAGTCCTATTTGCTTTATTTTGGCTGGAATAAAAGCAGGTTTAAATATTTTGAAACCTTTTTAAGGTCAATATTATAAGCCCCCCCTCCCTTAAGCAATATATATTTTTTGATTGTCTGCAGAAGAAACTACTGTTGTGATTTATGGTTTCACTTTCACGTCTTTTGATTCTCAACTCGTTTGTTTATTACATAAATGAGGGTTAATATTAATTAGGGTTGTCGCGATACCATTAATTCATGTTACAATACTATACCAGTTGAAGTATCACGATACCAAGTAGTATTGCGATACTGTAATTCGTAACTTAAATTATAAAAAGAATAAGAAGAAAAACGGTTTTATATGTTATAATGGGCATATTTGAAGTTAATTCATAATTCCCTTGTTATTGATAAAAGTATTATTTGCACATCACTTCACCTAAAGTGTTTTTTTTGTTTGTTTTTGTAGATGACTGACTAGCAAAAATTATATTAAAATACATTAAAATAAAGATATAAATTATACCTCATGAAATGTTACAGAAAGAACATTTTCCAACACAATTAGGCTAAATTAAGTGGTCAAAAATTGTTTCAATGTTTCTTCTTACTATTTTTGGATAGACCGTTAATGACGATACTACTGTTTACAAACTACAGCAGCACTGGCAGTATTTTGGAGCCAAAGTATCACGATACTACCATAGTACTGGTAAACCGTGCAACCCTAATATAAATAATTAGTAAACACCACATTTTGACACAAATTTGCATGTATTTGACCATTAAAGCGCTCGCATTAAGATGACTTGGTCTCTGAGACTAAGCTGAGCGCATATACACCACACCATGCAATCTCTTTTGTGCTTTTAAAAACATTAATGATTCGAATGCACATCAATGAATGATGCTCATCCCATGCTGCAAAAATTACATTACAGTACATGTTTTTAGTAATTTTCAGGTGAACACTTGAAAGGGGGTGGTACGATGCAATAATTGTTTTATCTCGATTAATGTTTTTTCATAAACGCTAGAAGCCAAAATAGAAATCGTCCACGAGACCGACGGAGTGATTGTTTATAAATGTGGAGTCCCGTGAAAGAGCTCCGGATGGAAAGTTTTGTTGTGTGTTTACCTCATGGTTAAAGTTGTTGCACGTCCGCCGGTTCCTGCCTCAAAATGAGCGAGTTTGGGCCACTTGTACATTAAAGAAGCGTTCAGAAAAAACAAAACACCAGTGAAGAAACTCGACACAGAGGAACATTAACACTTCACTGCCAACTAGCGTTATGGAAGCGTTATTGCAGAACAAACGAAACGGCGAGCAGAAGTATAAATGCACAGCTACGTGTGTTGTATTCGCCGTGGGTTACGCCCATCACTTGACACAGAAGTAAAAACCAGGTTTAAGTGAAATTACCACCACGGCTTATCAACAATATTGAAGTAGTCAGATTGCTTAGTGTATGTGTGAACATACCTGCCAACACCTGTTTTTCCAGAAAGTCTCTCGTATTTCCGACCCATCTACCACAATCCTCCCGTTTTGTTATTTATCACGGAAAACTCACACAATTTTAACTCCACCACGCAAGTCTTTACGACTTGATTCAACTGGGATCTGCTACAGTGTTAGTGGGCAGGGCTGCGGGTTTAAATTTTCCCAGGTTTGTGCTTGCAACAATTGGACGGGGCTTAAGTTTCATATTGGAAAGACTCGTTATCAAGACTATTCATTTTAAGCACTATGAGTCGACTCTTTATAGATGAATTAATAGTTTTAAACACTGCACTTTCAGGTTTAAACCTACACACTACATGGGAGGTAATTTTCAAAAACCCATAATAGGGGATCTTTAACTAATACAACCTTACTGTAGATTTACGGGTTTTCTAACATGATTTTCATCTCATTAAATAGTAACGGTCTCTTATAACTGTTTTCTGATGGTGCTAGTTTTTATTTTAAGACATAAAATATGTGATCAACATTCCTGACTTTCCTCTCTCTCTTCCTTAAGAGATGCACGTGTAGTGAAAGACATGGCGACGGGGAAGTCAAAAGGCTATGGTTTTGTTTCATTCTTCAACAAATGGGTGAGTCACAATCCCTACATCAGGAAATACAGGGTTTTCACTGAAGTAGAATCAGGGTGTGGAACATCTGCATTTAAATGCAAATCCCAAAAGCTCCTATTTTTTTGTTGTGCACTGAAGTTCGCATTTGTTTTTGTTTACAGGATGCGGAGAATGCCATTCAGCAGATGGGAGGTCAGTGGTTGGGTGGCCGGCAAATCAGGACCAACTGGGCTACAAGAAAACCGCCAGCACCTAAAGCCACTTATGAAAGTGTGTTCAACTTTATTTGTTTCCAGCTGTTACCATGAGAAACTAACCTAACTTGTGCTGAAGGGCCATGAAACTCTCTCCCCTTTGGTTCAAGTCTACCTCAGAATTAAAAAAAAAAAAAAAAAAAGGATCATAATGGGTGTGCAGCGCTGTGAGCAGAGGGAGGAGTGGGCGTGGTTAGCAGAGCAGGGGAGAAAGAGGAGAGGGAACTGATGTTGTCAGTTGGCTCACAAAATGAGACAAACTGGAGAAGCATGATTTTATAGTTTACAAAGTTAATGTGCAAAGAAATATTAATTATATTAATTTTCGACTTTTTGTCGATATTTTATTTATTTATTTTTTTGCATTGAATTCAGCAATCGCGAAAAGCTAGGGGGTCTGAATAGCAGTGCATCAGATCTCTTGGCCTGTCTATTCCAACCATTCAACCTGCTGGTAATCTGAAGGATTTTAAACGTGCGAACACAGCAGCATGGATAGGCCATGTGTCTGAATGGGAACAACCTCAACTGATTAAAGACACTGCCACTCTCCAGTTCTGGTACAGCTCTCCCGACAAAAATGGTTGATGAACATAAAAAGGTTTGCTGTATCGTCTCTGACAGCATCACGGGGAAACGCATGCAACAAACCCCAATAATCATGGAAAAAAACACTTATGACCCTAAATGGCTAAATACTGCTTGTCATATGTAGACTTGTTCTCACAGCTTGGCAGGTCTGCCTTGCATTCAGAAAGCACATGCTCTCATGAATAATTAGGAAGCAGGGTCTTCTCACAGGATAAGAAAACTCTGCTATGAATTATAAAGAGAATCAGACGTGTCATCACTCCACTAGCAGATTCACGCTACATCACCGATTTTTGATCTTGCCCCAAAAATTGTTTTAAACTCGGAAGATGAAATTAGCTGAAAAAAGCTCAAAATTATCCACTTTTCCCCACAATTAAAGCTAACAGGTGCTAATGTTGTCATAACTGATGCTCAAGCACAAATTTGTTAATCTCAAAAGTCCTTGAGTGTGTCTTGAACTTTTAAATTGTTGGCTTTCCGAGTTGGAAACTGTTTATATAAATATACAGACACACTTAATTTTATTTATATATTCTTTTCAAATGTAAATATTTATATATTACTTTTATTATCATCATTATTATAAACCTTATTCTATATTTGAGGCAAAGCAAATCTTTAAAATCTAGAGTTCAGTTTTTTTTTTTTTTTTTGATAAATGATAAGTAACAGTTAAAAGTAATTTGCAGGGCTTTTGTTGCACTAATTCCCATGTTAAATTAGATTACGCAAAGCGTTGATGTGATGAAATACCCAAGTAATTTTTCACTAGAAGTCAGTTCTCGTTCAATTCCGGTATGGCATGTCAAGATGTCATTCAGGTTTAGCGTTTATTATGGTACGTGCAAGAGCATGTTTGGAATCGTTGCATAAATACTGCTGTGTTGTAATAAGTGTATAATCGATCTTTAAAAAAAACTCCAGAGACTAGTGATAATGAATTAGTGTATGAAATGAGCAAAGAGGTTAATCCACATTTGTTGAATGCATTTCACAGCGAACACCAAGCACTTGTCGTTTGATGAAGTAGTGAATCAGTCCAGTCCCAGCAACTGCACTGTCTATTGTGGTGGAGTCACTACAGGCCTTACAGGTTAGTGTTTGCTGTAGGCTATAACCTGAAACGACTTGTACCAGATTTGATTGATATTACCCTTTTGTAAAGTTGAAGCTGGACAATTTTATGCAACTTTATTAAATTTAATCCAGTATGAATGGAAAGTAATTTTTAACTTCTCTCATTTTTCTACCCCTGAAGAACAACTCATGAGACAAACATTTTCCCCTTTTGGCCAAATCATGGAAGTTCGAGTATTCCCAGACAAAGGCTACTCGTTTGTGCGGTATGTCAATGCTATTAAAATGGGATGTTGTAGTTATGCTTAAACTCTTAAATTAGGTTGATCTAAGAGTGTTCTTAATATTTGCAGGTTCAACTCTCATGAAAGTGCAGCTCATGCGATAGTGTCGGTAAACGGTACGTCCTTAGAAGGTCACATAGTGAAATGTTACTGGGGTAAGGAGACTACAGACATGGTGAGCCCCATGCAGCAGGTGCAGGTACCCCAGGTGAGCAGGAGTATCTTTTTCTGTTATTTTAAATATAGTTTAGAAGTGTTCTAGCAATATATAGAAGAGCGTTGAGAATCTTGTGAAATTTAATCTAGTTATGAAAAATATTTGCTGTTAATTAAATCACAGGGTGTCCGTATTTTTTTTTAAGTATTGATGTCTTAAACTGACTGAAGTATTTTGTTACAGAACTTAAATTATTTTAAACCAGTTTTCATTTTTCTTATGTCTGTGGAAAGATACCCCAAGCTGGCCAGCACCTTTCCAGTGACCAACAATCCATCTCAATAAAAGTTTTACTAAAAGTTTTCTTTCTTAACTCCTATTTACCAATATGGTTTAATTGTCTTCGTTAAAAGTTCTTATTTTAAAGAAAGTTTGTTGAAAAAAAGTGTATGTATACAAATAGGGTTTGCTTCTTTTGATATTATTTAAAATATGTGGCTAATAATTAATAAAAAAAAAATCTATCTATCTATCTATCTAATTTTATATATATATATATATATATATATATATATATATATATATATATATATATATATATATAATTTAATTTTTTTCTTTCTCCACAGGGCCAACTAGGACATTAGAAAAATATCTTTGGAATTTAGTTAACATTTAATTCATAATAATCTTAAAGACCCTAATGTCTTTATTTTGACTCTGTGGAACCTGCAGAAACCCTGACTCTGTTTTATGTTCTGTTCTTTTTTATTTTCTAGCAGAGTAAAGTTGGTTTTGCTGCGCAACCATACGGCCAGTGGGGACAATGGTACGGCAACGCACAGCAAATTAGTCAGTATGTCCCTAATGGCTGGCAGGTACCCACTTACGGCGTGTACGGACAGGCCTGGAATCAGCAGGGCTTCAAGTAAGATTACGTGGTTTCATTTTGTTTAATGTTTTGAAAAAGTTTGAGGCTGCTGTGAGTGTCATGCAATCAGACAATTGGATGAATCATTGACTACTTTGGTGCTAGTTGGGCTTGAAAATATACCTTGTGTAACTACAGATTTAATTTTCATTTGTCTGCAAGATACAATGTGCATGTAATATTATGTAGGCCTCTAATGTTAGAGAGTCGCTCATTTAGCAGGATAATGAAAACACGAATGTAGATGGTGTCAAGTTTAATTTCTGCGATTTTTCTGAGGTAGATCCATTGATGAACCCTTACATACTTTGCTATATGCAAAAAAAGTATAAACCTGTTTTAATTATAACTTAAGACTGCTCAACATTTGAACTGATAAAATGAAACGTGTGGTCAAATGTCAAACAGTTATATTAAAGTTGAATTAACAAACAACTTATTAAAAACATGTTTTTATATAAATATTAATCTCATTCATCTTTTTTTGTATTTTGCTTGTAACATGCCTGGATTGGCTGGTAAATAAAATAGTAGGTGCATTTAGTTTTTGCTACTATAATGTATAAAACAGCTCTAATTTATACATTATAGGAAATAAAGGCAAGTGATCAGTCAATATACAGAATGTAGGCTACGTGGTTACATTAATAACTTATCTTTGCGCTTAGCCAAAACACGTTACCTGAGAACAAGTAATAGATTCCAATGACCAAAGTCGGGGAATATGTCATTAGATATAGACAAGATGAATGAAATGTCACGTTTAAAAAATATAGTGAGATCCAGCGAGAGATTCTTAATAAGCAGTCCGATGAGCAGAGCTCTCACCTGGGTAGATAGGCTGCAGCTCTTGCCTGAGAGTGTGTTTTTAGTCACATGATGTGCGTTTTCAGTGTTTTGGTGTAGATGGAGAGCTGTTCAGAAACGCTGGGTGAAACGCTAGTGTGGACACAGATCGTTTTCATTCTAAAACGCCGTTTTAAAAGTAAAACGCTCTAGTGTAAACGGGGCCTAAGTGCCAATAACACAGCAGAAATGTGCAACAATGGGAATCTAGAAGTGTGTTGATGTTAGAGATGTACCAAATTTTCAGCCACAGAAAATGTATTGGCAGAAAATGTTATGCCATTTAATGCACCCTCTAATTAATGTGGCTTTAGTAATTCTCGGGGTACTCTTTTAAATCTGGAAGCATTATCAACTTGTATCGAAATGTATAGCATCATTGTACAATATGGAAAATAATTATTGAGACTGCATTTTTGCCATATCGCACAGGCTATTTGCAATCAGTAATTATGGTTCTGAAAGACAAACAAAGGTTTTGTATTTGATTCACCATGAAATTATACACAGCAAATCAGTCAGGACGTCTCAATGGCTGGCAGATATTGCATGGTGTAAATGTAAAATTTAAAATCCTTTTAGCAGGATTTGACCTTTTTAAATAGCAGAAAAATATCTCATCATCTGCATGTTCTAACATGTGATCATAATGTCAAATCATCAAACATTTTTGGGTCTCTGAGGATACAATGGAGAGGTACATTTGTTCAATAAAACAATAACATGTATTCAATTAAATGTGTTTTTCAAATAATCTTGTCATCTATAGTTTCATCTATTAGAGGCAAAACTGCACAAATAGCGCTTCATTAACATTGTTAAATTCTAACCGGGATAATTGTATAAGAAACGAGCCTAAGTACGTCACACACCAATAAAAGGTAAATGAAAAATTGCTGTTGATTTGATAACAATAAAGATGTATTACATGGCCTCTTTAATACCTTTAAAAGGTCTACATTACTAGTACAGTAAATAATGTACAATAATGTATTTCTTCCAATCCTTCCCTACACAATACAGCTTTAAATACACAATTACTTCATTAAATATATGGCAAATCTAGTCTTGGCTTTAAATTAAATTTAACATTTGGGATCTTCACTAACATCAAGTGCATTTCTTTAAAGCCAGTCACATGATCAGTATCTTGTGACGTCACTTTTGTTGTCACGATACTGGAATTTTGTTACCACTCTGTACATAAATTTAAAATCTTTAAATAATTCCATATTCCGCTAACATTTAAGTGCCATTGAGTGTGCATGTAAGCACAGATTGTGTTCACGTGCTCAGCTGAAATAACTGTAATTGGTCGTGAAGGTGCGGGCAGTGAACTAATGTCCTTACTGCCAGTCAAAGCTATTTCTGTTGAGCATGTGAACAAAATGGCCAATCAGCTGTGTTTGAGTATCTGCTCAAAAATTAGCAGGACAGTGGATGTTTATAAAATTACAGTAACGATTAAGACCAAAATTCTAGTATTGTGAAGAACACGACATAAATCCTCACAAGAAGTGTCTGCTAAGTGAAGTTTCACAAGCTCATTTTGAAAGAAGCACATGATGATTGATCGTAGCTGGTCTCATCTTTAATCATTAGTAAACTAATCAGATTAATTCAAACTCACTATAAGTAGCCTGTCTAAAGCCTTGGTCACACTGGACTTTTCTCGCCGTAGACTTTCATTCATACGCACGCAATGCGTCAGACTGGAAACGCAAGCTCGTGCATCGTTTCGCAGATCGCTGTGTTGGAAAGTTCAAGCTTGATGAACTGCAAAATCACATCACATGACTGTGTGAGACCAATCGAGGATCAAAATGACCTCCCTGGACAGGAATTTAAAACATGGACCAATCACTCGCTTTTTTTAAAGTCTAATCTTGTTCAATCCTGCCCCTTTTCGAAGTGACGCATGACAGTATTTTGCACTCACAAACTCTAGTGTGACCGCAGCTTAAAACTACTCTCTTATTTTCCTCCTTAACCAGGGGGAGCTCTTGAACTACCGGTTCTCATACCCCCTTACATGCTCATTGACCAAGTGGGGCTCAGATATCTGCGAGCTCAGGGTTCTTTCCCGGGACAGCATGTCAAACCTGCTACTATTATCAAGCAATATCTAAGTGTGAACTCTTTACATCTTAATTGTGCTTTTCAATGCCACCAGCCAACAGCTCCATTGTTTTGTAGTCACTTACAGGCTGGTGCGGGCTGGGCTGGTGTGGGTGCCGTGAGCAACGGAGGTGTCGTAGAGCCTGCGCAGGGAGTCAACGGGACCGTCCTGGCCAACCAGTCCACCATGGGCACTGCAGGATACCACACACACTGATGGGGCGATTGACGACTCTAGCACTCCACTGCGGCCACTGCAGGGATCTACACACTCAAACACACGTCAAGATATGCCTGGCCTGGGGGAGGCGCTGTGCCATTTTTCTTTTTTGTTTTTCTCCCTCGTCCTCCACCTGTAATTTGAGACTTTGAGGCAGATCTTGCTCGTCATTGTGGGGTCGGGTTGCCCTACACCCGGATTAAACATCACACCCTGATACACAAACGTATTCACACAAACACACACACACCCTTACAAATCCCCAAGTCTCTGGCCTGGTGTCCGGCTGACTTATTCGGAGAGGACTATGCCATTTTTAACTATAAATGAATAAAATCAACAATAACTGCAACTTTTTTCATTTTGCCTTTATTTTTGGTTTGTTTCGAGCGATTTCAGCTGCTGATATTGTAATATATGAAGCTTTGCCTTTCTTGTTTTTTGGACTTGCCATTTTAAAAGCAAAATTTGTCTTTTTGAGAGGAGCGATGACACCAACGAATCGTGTGAAATGTCAACCTTTTTTTTTTTTTAGTTTGTTTATAAAATGAATAAAATGGATGTCAACTGTTGTATTTTTTTAATTAGACATTCAATTTCTCAAACTAAACCAATTGCAGGGATGACTGCCGCATTTTTTCTTTGAGGGCAGATAAATATTGCACAATATTAATACGTTTTCACAAGAATTTGATGTTACGCAAATTTTAGGTATTTTAAATTGTTTTGCATTCCAGTTTTTTTGAGGGCTTCTAAGTACAGTATACCGTTCTGTATGTAAATAACCAAACAACTGTGTTCAACTGTTGGGACGCTATATAAAGAAAACTCAAATGTTGATTATGGATGCTTGCTTGCTTGCTTTTTTTGATTTGTAGGTAGGTCGGTGGGTGGGAGGGGGTTTGGGGAAGGTTTTTGGGCTTCATTGCAACTCCTACGGCATTAGCGGCTCTGTTAAATGCTGGTCCATATGGTTTTAAGGATTGTTACAGAGAACTCAAGGAGAATAATTTGCTGCTTTTCTGCAGCACTGAACATTTTGTTAGAACTGCGATAATTCTGTGTATAAAATGAAAATGCTGATTTTTTTTTTTTTAATGAAGTATTTAGTATCAAGACAAGAAACCTGGGTGGATCAGAATTTTGCACTGTTGCCCATTTAATAGACGAGACCAATTGTGTTGCCTTATTTGAGTTGATTTCATTTGAAAATAACTGATGACCATTAAACATAGGCAGTGCCTACGAATAAATTAAAACCTTTGTTTTGAGGGTTTTTTGATAATGTTCATCTTATTACGTGTTTTTGCTTTGTCCCATTAAAATGCAGATGCGAACCAACATATCTCTTTGTCCTTTTATATCCTTGAACTGGATTGTTTTGGATTACAACATGAATTGAATCAGTTGTGATGATAGCCTATACATGTTCAGTTAGGTCCATAAAAATGTGTCCATCGACTCAATTCCAACATTTTTATCTCTACACCAACACAATTGATTTAAAACGAAACTGACAAGATGTGCTTTATCTGCATACTGTTAGCTTTAATTTGGGGGCATTTACATCCAAATCAGGTGAATGGTGTAGAAATTACAACAGTTTGCATATGTGCCTCCCACTTGTTAAGGGTCCAAAAGTAATTGGACAGAATAATTATTAGAAATCAAACTTTCACTCTTTAATACTTGGTTGCAAAACATTTGCAGTCAATTACAGCCTGAAGTCTAAATCGCATAGACATCACCAGCTGCTGGGTTTCATTCCTGGTGGAGCTCTGCCAAGCCTCTACAGCAACTCTCTACAGTTCCTGCTTGTTCTTGGAGCATTCTCCTTTCCATTTTGTCTACAGTAAGTGAAATGCAAGCTCAGTCGCATTCAGGTCAGGCGATTGACTTGGCCATTGCATAACATTTCACTTCTTTCCCTTGAAAAACTCTGGTTGCTTTTGCAGTATGCTTTGGGTCATTCTCCATCTGCGCTGTGAGGTGCCGTCCAATGAGTTCTGAAATATTTGGCTGAATATGACCAGAAAATTCTGCCTGAAACACTTCAGAATCCATCCTGCTGCTTTTGTCAGCAGTCACATCCTCAATAAACACAAGAAAACTAGTTCCATTGACGGCCATACATGCCCATGACATGTCACTACTACCACCATGCTTCACTGCCAAGGTTCATAAGCAGTTTTTTTCCCTTCAACATTCTCTTCTCTTCCCATCACTCTGGTACAAGTTGATATTGGTCTCATCTGTCCATAGGATGTTGTTCCAGCACTGTTAAGGCTTTTTAAAAAATCTAATCTGGCGTTCCTGCTTTTGAGGCTCACCAATGGTTTACATCTTTTGGTGAACCCTCTGTATTCACTCTGGTGTATTCTTCTCTTGATTGTTGACATTTGACACACTTAAACCTGAGAGTGTTCTTGATCTGGCCAACTGTTGTGAAAGGTGTTTTCTTCTCTAGGGGAAGAATTCTTTGGTCATCCACCACAGTTGTTTCTGATGTCTTCAGATCTTTTGGTGTTGCTGAGCTCAGTGGTGCGTTATTTCTTTTTAAGAATTCTAATTGTTTTGGCCACACCTAATGTTTTTTGCTATCTCTCTGATGGGTTTGTTTTGTTTTTTCAGTCTAATGATGGCTTGCTTCACTAGATAGTCTTTGGATCTCTGTCAACTTGAGAGTTGACTCACAAATTCCAAATGCAAAAAGCACACTTGAAATGAACTCTAGACATTTTGTCTGCTCAATTGTTATTGGGATAATGAGTAAATAACACACACCTGGCCATGGAACAGCTTAAAAGCCGATTATCTAATTACTTTTGGACCTTTAACAAGTGTGAGGCACATATGCAAACTGTTGTAATTCCTTCACTGTTCACCTGATTTTGATGAAAGAAGCACCTAAACTGCTCAAGGCTGGGCTAATGCTGAGGTTTCATCTTTGGGTAGACTCAATAATATCCATCTGCACATTGCCACTTCATTAGACTGGCGTGTTTGTGTTTGTATGTGTGGGTGTGTGTTTTTCCTTTTCTGTGTTAGAGGGCGGGGCCTCATGTTTTAAATCTCCCGGGTTTGCGTGTGCAACTACTTGGTTTCGTTGTCACCTCATAGTGAAACACCTAATGACTCGTTATCAAGAAGACTCGTTTGAAGCACTATGAGTCAACTCTTTTGTAGATGAATCAACAGTTTTAAACACTGTACACTTACAGATTTAAGCCTTATAGCTGGATATTTCACTTCACTTAGAGCTGTGTTACACACTACATGGAAGGGCATTTTCAAAAACCCATAATATGGGCTCTTTAAAGCACATATCAAATCGATTGTATTGGTGTATAGAGCCAAGAATGTTAGAATTGTGTCGACAACTTCTCAGTCTGCTACAATTTAATTTATATCTAGAAAACATGCTGAAGTAAATTGTCCAAATAATTGTGAAATGAAAATGCCAAAATACAATTTAAAAAAACGTTTTTGACATGACACATCTTCTTCTTTGGCCTTAGTCCTGGTTGCGAGGTCGGCTCTTTGGAACAAGTCCTCTCCATTTAGACTTGTCCATATGATAACTTTTTTACACATTCCGGGCAGCCTGTCATCTAGGCCTGTCACCCTCATACACTCATACACTACGGACAATTTAGCCTACACAATTCACCTGCAGCATGTCTTTGGACTGTGGGGGAAACCGGAGCATCCAGAGGAAACTCACGCGAACGCAGGGAGAACATACAGAAACGCCAACTGAGCCGAGGTTTAAACCAGCGACTCAGCGACCTTTTGACATGACACATATTTAATTGAAAATATTATTTTGATCTGTACTTCTTAAAATGTAAAATATGAACTTTAAATGTTTTATATATTTTCAATTATTAACAACTTGCTCACGACTAGGTAAATGTGTAACATTTCGCATTTTGGGGCTGTGATATTAAATTATAGTATCTGTTTATGTCACTGAATAATTCATGGCCAAAATATATTAGTATCTACAGCAACATTATGACATTATGACATAAAAAATGACTGTAAAAATGAACCTGTGTCAGTTTTTTTCTCAGAAAACAAAAACTAATGTAGTTAATAGTAAACACGGACTTCAGTCCCCTTACAGAGTTTCTGCATGGTATGTGTTATTTATTTATTTATTTTTTGTTTGTTTTGTTAAGTTATTTTGTATTATTATTTTAGTTTTGTTTGGTTTTGTACATGATTCACTGTTTATCTGACATGTCTCAGTCAGTTTGTGCAAGATTATGTTTGGACTGAGTTTGGCCCAAATTGTTGTTTTTGAAAGGCAAAAAAAAAAACGGACTTCAGTTCCCAGGATGCATTTGACTTATCGCCCTGTGGCCAATCGGGAAGCTCGTTACAGCCGCAGCGGAGAGCTGTATGTAAGGAGGAATGGCGCCGGTTGCTGCTGGAGCTCTGAAGTGAATCCTCCGCGGATTCTGACCACTGAGAGCAGATCTGTCGGTAGAGGTTGGTCCTTCTCTCACCATCTCTTACTTCTCTCTGTTCATTAACTGTCACGCATTTAATGTTTACCTATTAGCTAGCTGTCACAAGTCGGTGTCATTGGAAAGCATTGTTATTCTAATGGTGGACTACTGTATAATAGCTACATTTTTATAACATTTGTAACGTGTTGTAAATGTAAGAGTTTGAAAAAATGTTTTGGTGAATGTTTAATGTGATTTTGTTTTTCTTTTGTTTGTTATACATTATATTATATATTAAAAAAAACGTAACAGTTTTTCAATTAATACCAAGACCATGTGTTATGAGTTGGGGTTAATCATTCAGTCCAAATTAGTTTTAATTAGTTTAACAGTAGCATTGACTAATGGTAGTTGATGATTAGGCAGTAACAAATTGAGAGATTACACTAAATAAATACAACAAACCGTCATGTGGACCTGGACATGTAAAATGGTATTTTTTTTAACCATATTTGGTAACACTGTTGGATATCTCAAAAAAAGACATTGCGCTTTTCTTTCTTTTTGCGTTACATATTGAGATATGAATACATTTTCACCAGATATATCTCTGTAGGAAAGATTTTTTCATGTTTGACTGAAATAATTTTGTAAGGGAATGTATCTGCATAAAATATAATAAATTACAGGAAAACAATTAAAACTCTAATTCACATCTTGCTATGAGTACTGCAGATGTGCACATTGTGTCAGTGCTGAATTGATACGTTGTGCATTCCTAAAAAATCCGATATTTTTCCTTTATCAGGAGTATTACTGTTGACCACACCATATTATTATTATTAATAATAATAATAATAATAATAATAATAATAATAATAATAATAATACTGTGAAACTATTTTGATTAAACCTTTTCAGATATAGTAATATATTTTATAAACTGTTATAGTCAATGTCTTTACTTACTGTACAGAGTCATACACAAGCTGCACACGAAATCAAGAGGTGCTTTAATTAATTAACACAAAATTGGATGGATGTGTTGTATAAAATCAAGTCTCTCTTTTGTTATTTTTAATTTTTAGAAAACCTTTTACAATATTAAGTTACTATATTGATTTAAGAAAACAGTTAAAACAATTCAGTGTCTGAATTAATTGTTGAATGGACAATAGTTTTGCACACTTTTATATACAGTAAGTGAAAAACTGTATGTGAGACAAATGGTCTGTCAGAATTCACAATATTAAAAAAAACAGTAGGTGGCAAGTACTCAGATAATCCACTACTTAAACGTGCAGTAAGTGATCTGCCAAAATGCTATCCAGTTAGCATAATATTTTAACACAATATATTTAAACACAATCCCTCCCCTCAAAGTCTCGCCTCCTGAAACACGAATGCACACCGTAAACATGACAGTAGACAACCCACTAGATCATATAATTCGCCAGTAAGACAACTTTACAGAACTTTATAATACTACAAATCTGAATGAAAACTTTATTATATCTAGAAGGTTTTCAGTTGTGTGGCCAGCAAAACTTAATGTGTAATACATAATGTGCAATATTTCATGCATGCAAGGATCGCTGGTCTCACTCTCTTATACGCTTTGTCCTAAAGCAACTACTGCATGCTTAGTGGTTGGCCGGCGACGTGCAGGACACTTATTATTAAGCCATACCTGAGCATGTGAGCACGTCACAAGTTGTCATTGTTCAAAAATGAACCAATGTGATGTGAAAAACAATTTCACCTCAGCAAATCAGGGTAGGCGGAATAGCGATGTTTACTGATGTTTTGTTGTTAAAATAAATAAAAAACTACATTGTCGATGCTGTAAAAGGTTCCTTATGAAACTGAAAATAGTCACATCAAT